AAGTCAATTACTGCACTGGGTGACCTTGTTACTTGGTTGTATTTTACTAAGAAGGCTACAACCCTGTAACAATATAACCTAGAACGAATTTTATTTGACAAAATGCTTGGTAATTCCGTTAATTTAGCTTCTCACTCTAAATATTCGAGAGTTAATATTTTATTAGTATTTGTTTGTGAATTCATGTTGCCGTGTTATATAATTACACATCTTTTTAAATTGATAATAGCCGAGAAAAATAAATATGCATTAGAGTCTTTTTTCTCATAAATTCGAAAAAAAGAAAAAAAAAGTAATTAGCTTCTGTTTAAATACAAGTATATATAGTGATCACTTACTTTTTGGCTGAGCTGGCTCTTAACTATAGTTAAGGAAAGGCAGGGTTCATACTGTTACCTCAATTTCAATTCTACGCTGTTCACATTTAAGATTATAAGATCTAATTTTATATCTGCCTTCTATACCATTTTCACCGTCATGATCCAAGTTACATAGCAAACATAATGATTTATCAGTGATTCTATAATAATCGTCATTTCTATCACTACTTTCTTGGCATAAATTAGGATATTGCTTTAATATTTTATTATGAAAATAAACATGATCACGAGTTGGATTAGATGGAAATATAGATGATGCACTTACCTTCCTTTCTGCTAAATCATTTGAGTTAGATGATTTAGTCATATAAGGGTGAGATCTGAGGTCACACAATACACATTCCACCTTGTTAGAAGTAAAAGTATCCTTACTATTTTGGGATTCATTGGTAAAATGTTCTATAATATATTGAATTTGCGAGTTAGAGAGTTTTAATATTCTATTTGCACTATAAGATTTAACCTGTTTAATCTTATTCTTTCCTAAACCGTTAAATAATTTATAAATCTTACAAGCTTTTTGAATTTGCTTGCAGAAATTCTCACATGAGACACCAGAAAGACAATCACAAATTTCATCATAAACTTGAATTCTTGCCAAGTCATCTGCTCTTTTATTATTTTGGCAAATAGATAAATTATCATTAACCCTCCTTTCGAAACCTTCTGTATAATAATACTAGCTTAAAATTTTTTCTTGCTTAGCATATATAGTATTCTTTTTAGCTTTCCTTGCTTTTTGATATAAATGAGCCAATTCGATAACAATATGTTTGTCATTTTTATTGTGATCTGATATATCCGGCTCTTTATTTTTAATGACTTCAATTGATTCTTCTAATATGGGTTTCAAATATAATTCTTGTATAAATTTTTGCATCTCAATTTAGCTATCCTTCTGAATTGAATCATTTTTAGTTTCAGTCACATGAGGGTGAGACCCAGGTCGCAGGGTTGATGCTCAGTCATAATATTTATTTCAGAAGAAATAATACTTTGTGCCTGATTACAACTTGGATGAGCAACTATATAATCATGTGAAACTTTTGTTTCTTTAGGCTGTATTGGCACCGATTTGCTATTTTGCTCAAGTGGAACTTTTGGCCTCACTTTTTACTACATAATTCTTCAACTGATATAGAGGAAAATTCTTGTTTCTGAAGTTTCTTCTCTCTAATTCTCTGAATTATCTCTTTACTAACCTTTTCTTTATATGTCGAACCCAAGAATTTATCGACTGCCTTATCTTCTAATGATTTACTCTCTTTGCAAATAGGTGACACAGGATATTGGGATGAAGACTCATAATATACATCAGGATTTGAAGTGTTATCAGATATATTATTGGAATTAATTTCGATCTGTTTAGATGTATCATCAGAATTCATTCTACAAGAGGCATTGGCCATACCGCTGATATTAGCCAAAGATTGTTCTTTTGGAATGAATGTATCTATCTGTTTGGTCTCTCCAACATCCTTACTCCGTGAGTCATTTTGTGATAGCTTTTGTTCTAAATTTGCAGCCCTGGATCTAAGCTCAATATTTTCTCTTGCAGATCATTCTAATTCCACGATTCTTACCTCAAGCTCATTTTTTCTTTCGCGATCTGTTCCAATTCTGCGATTCTAGTCATAAGTCTGGCATTCTCCTGTTTCAATAAATCTAGTTCAGATTTGGAGTTTCTCATTGTTTTATATAAGATGTATATATGTTCAAAAGTTTGTA